GCAAAATTTGCCTGTGGAGGGATTACATTTAAGCCAGCTTTGCAGCTACTTTGCCTCGATGAGCAGCAAAGGGCAGCTGATACATCGCTGAACTTGATCCCGACCGAACTAGCTCGTTGCTTCTTTGCAGCTTCCCCCCCCCAGCTTCTCACTTTCTCTTCTACAAGTATGACACAGTTATTTAAAAATGGCAATAAAAGCAGCACAGATGACATACAGATAAGTGCACGTGTGTGTATATATACATATGTATGGGAATATGGCACAGACGAGAGCGAGATATGGCTTTTTCTTGTTATCTCATGGAAAAGCCAAGTAGGAAATCCCAAGAGGCCCCGCAGTCACTCAGCGAATACGTTCATAGAGTCTTTGCCACCTCAAAAGAACTTTGAAAGCAGAAACCAACCTCGTGTCTGCCCTAACCCACCACAAACCCAGAAAAGCCTGATGTCTCGAGGCTTCCTTGAGGGTTTCCCAGTGAAGGACCACATGTGCATCCCCAGAAAATTGCTCCAGGTGGGTGTCTGGCCACACAGGAGCAGCAGAGAGGACAGGAAGGGACAGGTGGCAGGGGACAGCAAGACCCACCTGCTCCAATGACTTCTTCAATCTTCACAAAGGATACATCGATCTCCTTGGCAAACTCTCGGACCGCCTCATTGGGGTCCTCATAAGTGAAGGGATCAATGTAGATCTTCATCCCTGGAGACCCTTGTTGCAGGAAACATGGGAGCAACAGCAAAAGGGAAAGAAACGAAGAGCAGTTGTGCCATGGCCAAGAACTGGAGACCCCTGTGTCCTTATGCCCTCCGTATGCCCGTTAAGATGGCTTCTATCGCTGTGCTCAGCTGTACCACCTCCATAGACCGTTATCGTCCTCTTCGGTCCCCCTGCTCCACCCAACCCTCCCCTACATCTCCTCCTCTCCCTCTCTGCCCTCCGCTCCTCCACCATTATCCTTCCTCTTCCTCCTCCCCGGCGATGGGGAGCAGTTACAGACCTGAACTACAATTAGCTGGCTTTATGGTGAGGGCTTTACGAGGCTCCATGCATTAGTGAAGAAATATTTATTTACCCAAAAAGGCCTCTGATAGCTTTGTGGCGGCTACTAAATTGACAGAGTGCAGCAATTATAATCAACAACCTGCATGGAGCCATAAAATACAGCTTGGCCGGCCTCTGTGACAAGTGTGCAGTCCCTTGCATGGGGGCAATGTGCGGCAGCAGGATCCGGCTGCACCACAGGGAGATCCAGCAAGCGGGCTCCTGCCCTTTTCAAATGGGGGAAAAACCAAAACAGGCCCCCAAATTCCCCATATGGGGTTTGCAGACTTCATGTTTGGATGCCCTGGGGCTTGCAGAGCTGCCGGGGGGCACGGCCACGGGGCAGAGCGTGGCCACCACAGTCCCCAGGGCTCAGCAGGACACCAGTGTTATACTGCGGTCCCCACAGGGGACCCAGAGAGGGCTGCAGTGCCCCTTTGGGGGTTCAGCCTCCCGTGCCATTGCTCACCCAAAAAGGGGACCAGGGATGGTGTAGCAGCCCCCTCAAGGTCATCTCTGGAGGAGACCAGGATGGACATCACTGCCGGTCCTCCTCCCCAAGGTACCTTGGTGTTACGGTGATTAACGGCATTTGATTATGCTGTTAAGGACCTCACCAAGGGCCGCGATCCCGTTGCGCTGGCGCTTCCAGGGGCCTTTCTAGAGCTGACACGCAGACGACCACATGGACCGCAGCATTGCCTCTGCGCAGCTCCGCGACGGGAATCTAAATCGGCTCCTGGCTGCTTTGCAAGTTTGCCAGCAAGTAATTCAGGAGGAGGCACGAAAGCCTCGCAGCGGGGCACTGCTGGTGCAAAACAGCCGCCAAGGGAGAATCACTTGCAGGGCACCCAGAGCTGGGGAGAGACCAGGAAGGAGCATCCTCATCCCCAAAAGGGGCATTTGGGGCAAAAGCTCTGTGCCTCGAAGGCGGGTGGGGAAGGCTGCAATGAAGCCATCTGTGCATCTCCCAGTTCATAAATCCCTTTACAGCTCTGTCTCATACACTTTAACTGCCCCATAAATTTTTTTACAAGAGCAGCTGATGCTTCAGCCAGGATTACAAAGGGATTTACAGGATCGTAACCGAGACTGACTCACTGATCAAAATATTGAAGAAATAAAGGAGACAATAATGCTGAAGTTTCCTGCCCACTGTCAACACAGGCTGGTTTTCAAACACCCTCTGATGTGCCCTAGGGTCTGCCTGTGCGCTCAGTAAACACCGGGTTCAGCTCTCCCCTAATCTCCATCCCATCCGAATGAGTGGGATTAGGGCACCTAAACCCATTACTCATCCTGCAAACCTCAGCCACCGGCTCATCATCGCCACTCTGGCAAAAGCTGGGCAAAATGCCAGGTACCAGAGCACAACATCAAAGGCAACCCATGCTAAGCCTACCTGCAAAGAGAGCTTTGTGCTCTTAAAATCGCCCCGATACTCCTAGAAACTGGATTAGGCCATTTATCACTACTGCAGATGATGGCAAACTTTTTATCACTCTTCGAAAGTTGAAGTGCTCTGCACTGCGACCCTGACTCCAGCGTTAGATTCCTTCCGACATCATTTTTCCTTGGGAATAAATATCATTGGGACATAGAAAAACCCTTGCCTGATGAATCGCTGCCACTTCAACAGGACACTTTCCCTATTTCCCCTATCTCAAAGCTCCTGGCAAAGCAGTGGCAGAGATAAAGCATGAGAAATTACAACCATGAGAGACCCCATCTCACCCCAAAACCCACCCAGGGAAGTCCTTGCCAGCAGCAGGCAGCCGGTGATCCCCGGGGGGCTCATGGGAGGGATGGCGGAGCTGCGCCAGGGAGGCTGTAATTGCCATGCCACTAAACACACAGGTGATTTGTTCCGGCGGATGCACTCGTTACTCCATTAGTCGCTCGCCACAAATTTCCCACCTGTTTTGCTCCAGCGTCTGCAATAACCGAGCGCCTGGAGGCTCGCTAACCTTGAAAGGGTTTTGCTGCGCGTCTGGGAGCCCCGGCACCCCCAGCTTTCAGGCACCAACCCTCACATCGCCCAGCTTTAAAAACTAAACACAGACACCCACTTCACTGCTTTCCTACCTGGTTTGAACACCCTGGGTTTTGAGGTGCTTGGGGCGAGCTAGGGATGCACGTGGGGTGGGGAATGTTTCAAAACAGGGGGAAAATGGGAAAAATAAGTCCATCTGCAGCCCAACGTGGGTTTAGCCATCAAGCATCAATTAAATCTTCCCCCAGCACCCACGGTGCAGAAACGCAAAGAAAAGAGGGAGGAAAAGCACAGGTCCATTGTATTTAAGTATCACCCGGTGACGTTTGGAAAACAGTTTATTGTTTGCCGGGAGGTTTACGGCCCCTCCCAGCCCCACCATCACATTGGGCGGGTTTGGTATGAAGCTGAGAAGGTCAAAAGAGATCTAGCGTGCTGTTGCCGGCTTGGCTGGGCTCTCCCGGCTGCCTCCAAACCCTTTCCTTTCCTGCCAGCCCTCCCATTTTCTCTGCCAGGCTGATTGCTCCATATCCATCCCTCCCCTCTGGTCATCCATCCTGCTCCCCGCTTCCCCTGCCATCCTTCACCCATCCCTGCACCCTGCCACCACCCCTTTTCCCTAAGCCGGTGCCCAGGACCCAGGGACGGTTTCTTCCTGCAAGGCAGCAAAATGCACCTGGGAGGCATCTCTAGGAGAGTGTAAATGGGATTTACGTCCTGTGGGGATGGGGCACAGAGCCTGTGGGCACGGGGTGGCAATGCCTCACTCCCTGGAGCCACTGCTTTGCTGCTTTATTATCATTTCCAGCGATCACAATGGCCCACTGGCTGCTTTACCAGGAGCTGGAGGAGCACCTGAGCACATGTTATACACAACAGATGCCTTGAATTTATTCTGGTGCACAGCTCCACAAACTGCAAAGGTGTCTTAGGAAAAGGCCCGTCAAGCTCAGGTTCTCCTAGTTGTTTGCCAAGGCCATTAGCAGCCCAAAGCCAGTTGAACCTTCCCAGTCACTGGCCACACATACTTCCTGGAGCGGGGTGCAGGGCAAGCATCAGCCATGCAGCCAGGACAGCAGCAATGCCAGCCACCAGCCCCCACTCCTTGGCCACACTCCCAAAATCCGGCGTCCCTTTAGCGGTAAGAGCAGCCCAGCACTGATCCTGGCCCGGGCAGAGCCCGTGGCAGGAGATCAGGAGCTCATCCCCCCTCCGCATACTGCCGCTCTCCTTCCCTTCCTCCTTTGGGAGTCTTCACAGCATCCTCTCCCAATGCCTTGTTCCCCTACATCCCCCTGACCCCTACATCCCTCTGTCCCCCCAAATCCATCCCCATTCCCCAAATCCCCCCTGTTGCTCTTCTTTTCCCACCCACAATGCTGCACCACTGCAAAACCCCCACAGACAGCCTGACACACAGCTGTGGACATCTCTGCTCCCACCCTACTGTCCTCTCTGTCTACCCCATGGGGCTTTCATCCCCCCACCGTGCACATTCGAAGGTGGGTGAGTGGGGCACATGCCGGGTGCAGGTTTAAGAGTGTTTCCCTGCCCGCTTTTCCTTGCTTACCTCGGCCAGTGCTGTAGTGCTGTAATTTATCGCTGTACACTGCCTCCTTGCTGTAGGCGCGCTTCCTGGGAGAAAAGGGGAGAAAACAGCCGGGCTTGAGGGATGAGCGGCTGGCAATGGCCCCAAACCGCTCCCCTGCCAGCAACACTCAGCAAACAGTGGCAGCTCAGCGCTCTGTCCCCATCCCTCCCCTCCTACCCCAAATCTCTCCCAGCTGCATCCCATCGCCTCCACCTTCCAGGTAGGCAGCATCCCACAAGGACCCACCTGCTGCAGACAATGGAAATGGCCACCAGCGAGACAATGAAGACCACCCCAGCCGCTGCAGACCCCGCAATCAAAGGCAGCTGCTCTCTCAGCTCTGACTTGTAGTCATCTGCAAGAGAAGAGGGTTGGGATGAATTCTCCCTTGCACGCTCATGGAGGAAGAGCAGCATCCTAGGAAGGGGTCCCATAACGCCCCCTCTGATTCCATGGGTGCTGCTCCCATGGGAGGGTGGTGGGACAAGGGGGATCCAGGCAGGAGCGTTGGTTGAGGCAGGTGATGAGCCGGTGCTGCGTTGCACAGGGAAGGATTGTCACACTTGGCTTACACATACTTCGGGTTAAAAATATGGAAGAGAAGGTCCTGGGAATGAAGTCAAGCCAATGTGCGTGGGCCCAGTTTCCTGAAGAGATGAGGTTCACAAGGTGGCTTTTTCCATGCCTCTGGGGTTTCTCTTCCCTCAATAAATTTAAACCTGTTGGCCATTTTGACCAAATTTAACACGGGGTCTCACAGACACAAAGTTCCTACAAGTTGCAGGAAAGGAGGAAGAGAAAAGACCCCATCAATAAGCAAACCAGCCGGGGAAGGCTGCACGAGTTCACCCATATTAGACACCAGAGAGTCCACCATGCAAGGGTTAACCTTGAGAGGGAGGCCCAGGAGAATCCGAGCACCTTCACTGCAGCTCTGCTTGTAGGTTTTTACATCTCAATGGATGGCATGAGCCAACTCCTTCTGCAGAGCCACGGCAACCACAACCACAGCATCCCTTCCACACCAAGCAGCCCTCAAACCCCCTGCATCCCCTCGGCCACCCCCTGCGTCCTTCAGCAGCAGGCTGGGGTGAAAGCCGAGGTGGCACATGGAGGACTGGACATGCCTGGAGGAACCCCAAGAAAGCCATGTGTCTCCCCCCATCTTCCCCTTCTCCTGCCCTGCCCTGTTAGAGCGGTGTGGGTACCCACAGTGGGCAGTATCCAGCAGACCCCACACTCCTGGGGGCTTCTGCAGTCCTCCAGAAACACCCCTGTCTCCAACCACCCCCAGCAGGGTGTGCCAGGCTGTGCCAGCAGCCACAAGCAATGGTTAAAATAAAATTGACTCCAAAAGAAAGCATTTAGCACCCTTTTATCTGTATTTTTCTACTCTGCGGTTAATTATTAGCAACTAGATTTCTCTCTTGCACACCGCTTAAATCCTGAGAAATTCTCATCTAACAATCAATTATTATTTAATAATCTACACTATCCATTCTTATTAAATTTCAATTAATTGCTTATTTGAGGCAGGATTTTTCTTCTCGCTTCTCTAATCCTGAATATTCAAGGCATTGGGGGGGTTTATTACCATTTTCTCCCCTTTGGTCGCCCTGCATGGTTTTCCTCTTCCCGCCCTGGCTGGCACTCGACATGAGTGCAAGCACAGGGCAACTTGGTTTTAGGAAAGAAGAAAAGTTTTAGGAAAGACAGACAGCAGGACTGGGACCCATGGGTGTCACTTAAGCGGAGCAGGAACCACACCAGCAGCGGCAGGAAAGGGGGTCTCTGCAGGGACTTCAGCTGCCCCAGGGGTAGGAGGACCATGAAAGGAGCCTTGCTTCACTCACTGACTTCTGGATTAGTCCTGAAGCTGGGATTAATGAAAAACCCTCTCATGAGTTATTAGTCTCTAAAGGGATCTAGTGTTTGTGGGTGCAGGGAAGGGCTGGGACCAGAAGAACAACAGCACAACTCTGGCAAGGACGCCAGAAGAAGCCATGAAGGTCGTGAGCTGGCCCTTTCCCTTCGACACACCACCTCAGGGTGGGAAATCAGCTTTCAGTGATGGGTCTGACCCTTCCAGCTTTGTCCTGATAGCTCAGATGCAGCTCTGAGCACCCCAGGAGAGCATCCCTGGAAGGCATCCCAGGAGTTCTTCCTCCGGGGGTCTACAACCCTCTGCTGCTCCCCACCCTGCCGTGCTGGACTCACAGCCGGTGGCAGGGGGGCTCTGCCACCATGGTCAGAGGCAGGAAAGACAAAACTGCAGCTAAATAGCAGGGGAGAAAACAGAGCTATGAGATTTAAAGCAGATTACTTCTCCAGCTGGCGATTAATAAGACATCGCTGTAAATCACCTGGCTTTTGCCATGCTGCCCGCTGGGAGAGAGGTTTGCAGAGACAAGTTCGTTTAATCCAATTAGAGCCCGAAGCTGTCACTGGAAGGACAACCACCCCCTTTGCCTCCCTGTCCCCACCTCCCGGACTCACCGTCCGTCAGGGTCTGGAAGCACATCTTCCCGCTGTACTTGCCGTAGCCAGCCACGGTGCGGGCTCGCACCTGCACCACGTACACCATGCCGGGTCGCAGCCCCTCAATCCTGGCCGTGTTGGTCTGGCTGCGGGCCATGGAGGAGTTGTACTCGTTGTGGTCCTGTGGGCACAGCCAAGAGAGACCATCAGTGGTGGGGACAATGTACTCTGCAGCCCACCCATCCCCATTGATGGCAGGGATGAGGTTTATCTGCAGCCGGATAAAGTGGTGGCCCTGGCTCTGCTCCAGGAGGACAAGCGCCGGTGGCTTGGACCCTCCTGGTTGCCCTCAATCCCTGACATGGAGGATCCCACAGAAGCCAGAGCCACAAGCTCTGCCTGGCCTCCAGGGAGCTGGGGAGGTCCCCGCAGCATATGCTTCCCCGGCAGCCCCCTGGTCCCACCGTAGCGAAGAGCATGGAGCAAGGGGGGGAAACAATAAGAGCATCCAGAGCAAAAACACTCATGAGTAGCGAAGTCCTCATCTTCAAACCACTGATGTTCCTGCACATTTCAGAAACGTCATGCAGTTATGGAAACACCGTAATATGCCCTACATGACCCTGCTCGAGGGGGTTCAAGGGCAACTTGCCTTTGCCTAGAGCCCTAGCCTCTACAGTCCCTGCTCTGCTGGCAGGGGTCCTTGTGCTAAACCTTGGTGGAGACACTGGGCGACTCAAATCTCATTTTTTGCAAAATTCCCCAGTGATTTGCCATAAAGGGGTCGCTGGTGAAATCATCTAATTATTCACATTTAGAGGAATTCATTAAAGCTGGCAAGATGTGGGAGGGATGGAACAGCTTGGGCTCGGCACAGTTCACCGCAAGGGTCGAGAGCGTGTCCCCTGTGAGGAAGGATGGCTGCCAGTGAAAGGACCTGGCGGCAGGCAGTGACCCGGGACAGGGACAACCTGATAACCTTCGCCGGTACTCGCCGTCCCCCTCCTTTCCTCCTGACGCTGTCCCCACACTCTGGGTCCCTGCTTACCCTAGCAGATACCAGAGCCAAGGCAGCAACAGGCACTGCTGCCCGTGGGGGAGGAATTAGCATCTGCAGCCGCAACATCGCTTCCTTTCCTGTGGTTGCACATCGCTCCCAGCCTCCGGAGCCAGCATGGGTGACCAGGCACCCGTCCCACCACCTGGACCCTTCCCAGCAAAGAGCCTGATTCAGAGCTTGTCCATGTTCCCCCTCTCCCAGAAAGCTCAGGACCTGAGCAGCCTCCCGGCAGCGTGGTATGAAGCTCCGTGTGGCCCCAGCCCACCCTCGGTCACGAGGTTTCCACCTGAGCTTACCGCTGCCGGCCTGGAGCCCACGGTGCTGCTGATGTCGGGCGTGCAGATGCGGCTCACCTTCTCGTAGTAGCGGATCTCGTAGTCCAGGATGATGCCATTGGGCTGCTCGGGCTGAGGCCAGGAAAGTGTGATGCTCCTCATCGTGGCGCTCACCTGGTGCATGATGGGGACGGTGGAGGGTGCTGCCAAGGAAGCGGGGAGGGAGGGAAAATCAATGGAGAGGGGTAGGACCACCGGCCTTGGGGAGGGGGAAAATCTCCTGGGCACATGGAGCATCCCAAATCCCCCATGCCTGCGGTTGTTCGCCCCATGGGACAAGCTCACGCATTAGCAGTGGGAAGAGCAGCATCCCAGCAGCTTACACGGAGCCAAAGCAGTGAGCTGGCAAGGGAATTCTGGTATTTAAACCAATTATTCTTTTTAATTAGGGGCTTAGAAATCCTCGGTGTTCCTTCTCCCTGGGATTGCTTGCTCCAAGGATGTCTCCCACAGAGGGGCAAAGACAGCAAAGCTCTCCCCAGCAGGGACAAACCAAGGCTTGAAGACGATCCCCAGCTCTGCTTGCCGTCTTTTGCTGTAACAGCATCTCTGGAGGAGCCAGCACCACAGGAGCCTACATCATGGCTGCGACCCCAGGTGCTGTCAGTAATAGGATGTAGGAGCAAAACTCTGCCCACCCTGAGGATGATGACGGAAAAGCCAGGGACACCCCAGCCCAGCAAGGGGACCCCAAGGTGCTGGAGCCTGTAGCATGGCTTTGGCTCAGCCCTGGCCTGGAGGAGCTGCTGGGTCCACTCTTGGGGCTCTCTGAGGATGCTCATCCTCAGCACCCAAATGTGCTTCTCCCGGAAGTTTTATTTCTGAAGCCCAAACACTTGCAGAACAGTCTCAAACCATCTTTCAGCCCCTCGCCTGCCCCGGGGCCATGGCGCAAGGGTGCCTGAAAGGCAGCACCTCCATCCCTGCAGCCCCCAAGACCTCCCAGGCAGCAAACCACAGGGGTCCCAGGCATCTTGCCACAGCACCCCCGGAGAAAGCAAGATGCTCGGCACTGGCAGAGCATGCAGTCGGCATCGGGTGCAAGCCTGGCGTGGTTTGTCCGACCCCCTTCCCTCCCTGCCATGCGTTTCTAATCAGTCTTGCCGGCCACGCCACACACCATGTTGTTCTGCAAAGCTGCCCATAGTATTTCAGTTCACACACCAGACTGGAGCTAAGCGAGCTGGTTCCTTTCAGGCACATTGTCCCCACTGCCACTGCTCCCTGCCCAGCTCTCCACATGCACTGGAGCAATCCCGGGGCTGCTCTGCGCCTGCCAGGGAGCCGAGCATAGCCGACCACCCCCAGAGCCGAGCATCCCCGGAGCTGAGCATCCCCAGAGCCAAGCATGCCCAGAGCCAAGCATCCCGGAGCTGAGCATCCCTGGAGCTGAGCATCCTGGAGCCGAGCATCCCCGGAGCTGAGCATCCCCAGAGCTGAGCATCCCCAGCAGCAGCAACACCATCCTTCCACCATCAAGGACACCTGGCCGCTAAATTAGCCAGGAACCACTTTTCCAAAGGCTTTTTGCCCTCCAAGTTATACTTGAAAGGGCCAGAGCCAGCCAATACAGCCCTGATCCTGCACTTAATCCTACCAAAAGTCTCCAAGAAAGGTACCCAAGTCTCTCCACACCCAAAGCAGCACTGGCATGACCTGCTCGCAGGGTCAGCTCCCTATCCAGTGCAGGCAGCGCTGGGCAGGGAAAATGCCTCCTCCCCATGGATCCGGGGCAGAGCTGACCTCTGCATGACCGGCTCGGCGTGCAGGATCGTGCCGCAGAGGGAATCTGGGGGTGGCAGGAGCCCCTCTCCATGCGGCGGCACTGGGACACGTTGATAGTCCGACACCACCTTTCTTTATCTGGTGTATTTAATCCCGTGGGTTTTTTTTTTTTTAATCTCTCCACATCCACTCTGAGAAGATGCTCATGGGATGAAATTAAACACTTAGCTTGATTGCGGTTTTGTTAATTGCTGCATTCCATGCCCCGTTAGCATGGATAGCAGCATGCAGGCGGATGGGGCTGGGGGCAGCCCTGCGGGGTGAGATGCACTAACCAGCCCAAATCCAGCCCCATGCGGGGCTAGGGGGTAGAAAAACTCACTGCAAAGCCAAAGGGATTTTAGAGGTACAGCACCGATCCTGCCCTTGACACACCTGATGCATTTCCATTAGGTTACCCCGCAGCCCATCCTGCAACGGGGGAGCACTTCCACGTTAATATTCAGCCTTTGCAAGACAAACAGGGGGCGGTGGGGTACGGACAGATGGACGTGGGAGCCCTGGCTGTCCCCAGCTCCCAGGCAGCCTGAGAGTGAGAGACAAGCAAAGAAACACCCCAAAAATCCCACCCCAGGAGAAAAGCTTGGAGACCAGAGGCAGGTTTGATCGCACGTGGTTCAGGAGACAGTGATGCCAGCCAGGCACAAGCATAGATTTGTATTCCCCGGAGCTGGGAGACTGAAATATTTATGCCAGGTTTCAGTCTCATGCTGTCCTGAGGGAGCAGGTTGGCGAAGGCTGCCTGCATTACACACTCGACACAAAGCAGAAATTACCATCCCCTTTCTCTGCCCAAAGCAGACGGGTTTCCATCCCTTTGGCTCCTTGTGCTCCTCATTGCAGCCTGGGACTGGGTCCCCCCTTGCCATCTGCACACCCACCCTGTCAGCATCCCAGTTTGGCCCAGAGCTGTTTGTTCAGCTCCTGACACCTGATCGGGAAGAGGGAGGGAAAGGGGCAGGAGAGCCTGGAAAAGGGGACAAGAGGAAAATGATGGAAGAGGGATGTGCCAGAGGAGACGGAGCCTGAATTCAGCCCTGGGATGCTGCTTCCCCCCGTGCTGCAGCCAGGCTGCATTTCGAGGCTGGGTTCACCCCATCTCCCTGCTCCCACCTGGGAAAAGGGGGGAAATGGCGATGTCATTTCATCCCCAAGCAATCTAGAGGGGGTTAAAAAGCAGATATCAGTCCTCACTCCCTTCCCTCCCACAACCCAGCTCTCGCTTTGCCCAGGGCGCAGGCACCCCCTCCACCTCTCCCATCCTTCTTCCTCCTTCTTTTCCTGGCCTTTTTCCCCACTTGCTGCCTTTCCCGCAGGGCTGGGTGAAGGTTTACTGCACCCGTCACACACCACTCACACCCCAGGAGCTTTTTCCTTCGGACTCAGATCTTGCAACTCATAGTGTATGGCTTAAAACCCCTGACACCGCACCATCCCAGGACTCACCGGCTTGGTTGGTAGTGATGTTGACGGAGACATGCTGCGGTGGGAAGGGGCTCTTGTTGGAAACCCCATTGACAGCCTGGATCTCGAAGGTGTAAGGCGTGTGTGCCCACAGGTTGCTAATGAAGACCCGGGTCTCCGTCAGCCCCAGCTGCCGGGGGACAAAGTCCACGTTGTCGTCACAGCGGGAACAGGCGCGTCGGTCCGACCGGCACTTCTTGCAGACAATGTTGTAGGTGACATCATCCCGACCACCCGTCTCTCGTGGTGGGTGCCACTCCAGGATAATGGACGTCTCATTAACGATGGAGATGACATTGCGGGGGCCAGATGGGACACCTGAGGGTAAGGAGAGCACTTGAGACAGGCCCTTGCCCAAAGCGTTATGCTCAGCCCTACCGGGGCTCAGCGGGAGCCCCGAGGGGCTCCAGCACAGAGAATAACACCCCACAGCTCTGTCTTCTGGTCTACCCATCACCTCCTGGCTCAGGAGGGATTCGGTCTCCGTGGCTTTGCCCGATTCAGGGTCAGGCTTTCCCCATCGGCAACACCGACCACCCACATGGCCGGCCACAGAGAGAGGTTTCATGGTTGGGGATGGGGACTCCCATGCCACAAACACACTTAGTCTCCAAAAAACCCCCCATGCAGAGCACATGCAGATCCATCTGGAAAGATGGACCCATTTTAATGATCAGAGATGCCGAGATAGCTCCAGTGCTCACATGGAGAAGCACCTCAAACAGATTATCACAGCGAGAGAAACGCCACTTAGCCAGCACCACGGAGAAACGGAGGAGCAGCAGGCGAAAAGAGAGTCAAAAATGGAAAGTGGTTATTAACGGTTCAATATCTCAAGTTGGGAGCCTGGGTATTTAACAGCACAGAGGAAGGCTCTCCTCCATGCCTGGCACCGCTCGCTGTTTTGTGAGCAGCTCAGATGTTGGCCAAGAGATCAAAATTGCATTGATCAAACCTGCTGGGAGCCATTGCAAATGCTTCGGAGGATGGGAATTGAACATGGCTCTGATTACACACGCTGCCGGAACCGGGCCGAAGTCAATAGGGAGCGATTCAGGAGGAATCCAGGTGGGAGAGCATCATCAAGGCACAAACATATGTCTGCCCAGGTCTGGGGAAGGATTTGGGGTTAGCCAGGATGGCTCCGCAGCCAAAACCACAAAATCTGGCTGCTGGGTTATATTAAATAAGGAAAGTGATTAATTACTCGTGCTGGCAGGGCTCAGCACTGCGCTTCTGGGGAAGGAAAAGGACTTTGCCACAATGGGGGGGAGCAATAAAAATGATGGAGGACTTGACCTGTGAGGAAAGGTTAAGAGAGCGAAGCATGCTCCATCTTGGGGAAAACCATCCCGGGGGAGCCCTCCACATGTGTGTCCTGGGGAACATAGTGGCTGCAGATAAATTAGCCCCATTATTGGACGGGGATGGGATGCGCAGAGGTGGCTTCATCAGCACAGGGGTGACGTGGCTGGTGGGCTGGAGAGGTTACCCCGTGTGGAGGACCTCCAGCTGACACCCTGCTCCGGCCACCGCTGCCAGCCAGCCCGGGGGGCCGTGCCCCTTCCCGGCCAGCCCGGGGGGCCGTGGGTGGCCACCCCTGCCCAGCTCCCTGCCTGCGCTGCCCTCTCCCCCTGCTCCCTTAATTGCACCCAGGCAGGCACTTTGGGAGCCCCTCTCAGCCTTTGCTGCCGATACCACAGATGAAAGCATTTTGTTAAAATGCCTAGAAAAATGACAGCCTTTAAAAAAAAAATTAAAATTAATAATTCTGTTCCCTTTAATTCTTTTCCCCTTTAGCGGAGTAAACGCACATGTCAGGGAGCAGTCGCCAGTGCAGCATCCTTGCTGGAAAGGGCTTTCGTGGACTCGAGGCACCACAGATGTCCCATCGTGGGGGTCCCCCGAAATCCCATTAGCAAGGAGTGAAGATGTCAAAGGGGTTTTACAGGAGGGGTGGTAAGGGACACGACAGGGGCAGGAGCAGGGGGAAGGACATCAGTTCCCCCGGGGGGAACCAGACCGGAGGATTCGCAAAGGCTGGGGAGAAGGATCAATAAATAGCAAGTTACCCCCAAAAAGCTGCAACCTGTCTCGGGAACCTTAATCCAATCCCCCTCTTTGTACCTTAAGCAGACAATATCTTTTCAAGTTTTTTTTCAAGAAAAAGGGAGAAAACCATCTTTCTTCCCTGGCCCAGAGGCAAACCACTGTCTCCCCAAATTCCCCCCCCCCTTTAATTGCAGCCCCTTCCCTCCCCTGCCAGGGGTACGGAGCAGGAACCACACTTGCAGGCATCGCCCTTGGGAAGGACTCTGGTCCAGGGCAGCACCCACAGCTCCATGCTGTTATTTACTCCTCTGACATGGAGAAACTTTGTCAGTGAACAGCTGGCATCTCAAATTAGAGCATTGTAAAATTGTCAATGAGAAGAAATAAAAATCAGCAAATGGACTTTTTTATACTGTATTCCTATAGCGCAACAATACTGTAAATCAGCTATGTAACGAGACATAATAAAGATATATAGATTTATCTGCAGTTGTGCTACCTGCCGACTACCTTCGCTCTGACAGCTCAAGTGATCCAGCAAAACATGCAAATCCTTTCCTCGTTTCCGACGTGCATTTTGGGCACTCCCCAGCACTACGGGTCCAGAGCATCCTTGTACTAAAGCTCCTTGATGGGCTGATTCAAGGGCCTGGAGCATATTTTGCAGAGGGAGTTGAGGTTGAGACTCACGTTCCCAGTGGGCTGTAGAGCACAGCAGCTCTTTCTTCTCTCCTGGGGTCTTTTCTCACCAAAAGACAGGTTTGAGGCCGCTGCTGCCATCCCAGGCAGTTTGGGCAGACAGCCGAGCAGTGATGCATCGCACGCAACGCCACACTGAATACAAATGCTTAACGCACCCTTTCCCCCAATAAAAAAATACTCCATCTGCAAGACTATGAACAAGACAGCAACAGCAGATAACTTTAAATTCTAATTTATCCTGGGGACTATCTCCCTGCCATCACCGCCACTGCAATTCAAACAGTTGCCAGAGAGGCGGGTTGCAGGGCCATCCCATCGCTCATCATTTGGTGTGTGCCATGGTGGTGTCCCAGGAAAGCAGAGCAAAGGGTGACGAGACATCATCTACTTATGCCGGCGTGGCGGTGAAGGGACTTGCATCGGTGCAAGGAGCGTTTCTATAGCACATGGAGGAGGTGCTGTGTCAGGCAGAGAGGGATCAGTATTCAGTATGGGTACCCCAGCCCTCCACAAAGCTAAACCCTTGTGGTGGGTTGACCTCGGCTGGCTGCCAGACGCCCACCTAGCTGCTCTCTCGCTCACCTCCACAGCAGGACGGAGGAGAAAATAAGATGAAAAAGCTCATGGGTTGAGACTTTATCCCTGCCGCTTCCCCAGCAGCAGAGGGGAGCAAGACCCTGCAGCCCCCTTGCCAACCCTAATCTGTTACTCACTGGTGCAAGCAGCTGATGGCAGGTCGAAATCCGCCCGGTAGTAGCCATTGCGGCACATGCAGACCGGTGAGGCCTCGGCAGTGGAGCGGCTGTTGGAAGGGCATGGCACGCAGACCCCCGCGCCCTGGCTGGCCTTGAACGTCCCCGCCGGGCAGGCTGCAAGAGAAAGGAGAGGAAAGCGGTTGGGTGTCAAACCATCCTGGGGTGGAGGTGAAAGCAGGTCCTGTCCTTGAAACAGGGCAGAAAGAAAAAAAAGAGAAAGAAATAAAAGAAAAGACACAGAAAATCTTCACACCTGTATCGGAGCTAAACAGGGTGGCACCTTCCTACAAAGCTAGGATGGCCATAATTTTCCACGCTGGCTATGAATCATTTCTGGAGCCACCAGGAAAACACTGAAATCACACAGCAATGATACAGTAATTAGCCAGGCAGAGCAAGGGAGCTGCAGCAGCTGCTTCGCTCCCCACCATTCGTACCCAGGCAGGGGTACAGCAGGGGTCTGCAGGGCCCCCTTCCCCAGCAGCACCCATGGGGACACGGGCACGCAGGGGCAGGACAGTGTACCCCTTCTGCTGATCCAAAACGTCCCTTTCCGCCACCCCAATGGCATGGCTCAGGTCTTGCATCTCTTTTTCCATGCAAAATTTGAATATTTAATTATTAAAAGTTGATGTGACGCCCACGACAGTGTCTCACGGGTCCATCCCATTAATCCCCCACAGCCCAGGGCTGGGGCTAATAACCTTCCCGGCCTTCAGCCTCCGAGTTCATTCAAGCAGGAAATGGCAACTAATTCATAAATGAGAAGATGCTCCAGTTACAGTTACAGCGAGGCTTTAATCAGTGACGGAGGGAGGTTTCATTAGTCAACCGTCTTGCTGCTCTGCAGTTAGAGGGTGAAGATGGAGTGACAAAGATGGGGTCCCTCGTCCCCATCCCACCCCACCAGTCCTCACCAACTAGGCGCTGATGAACGGATGCTCATCCATCCTTAACGTCTAACAAAACCCGCAGGTGACCCGTACGAAACCGAAGGCTACAGAAGGGAATGTCTGTATTTTGACACATGTACCCAAGGGACCAGACTTCTATCCAGATCCACCATCTGGCCGGGGGGAGACTGTTCCTGGCCTCGCACACAGGGTGGTCCCACCTCCATTTGGCTCCCGGCTCTGCCCCCACGATGCTGTCACCTCCAAGGCATGGCTTACATAGGAGAAACACCCTAAGTGTCTCATAAACACGGCTATGATTGAGATAATGGAAAGTGCCTCTTAGCCCCTGTCTGCTGCATCAGGATATGAGACATCTCCTAGCAGCTGTGAAGAGGAAATTAATAGGAGCAAGCAGGAGTAACCACTTTGATGCAATTTCCTTGGGAGATAGTGGACCATCTAATCTTTATTGGAGCCCTTTAACCTGTCATTCAAAACCCATGAAGGCCTCTTGCTCACGCAGTCTTTCCAGATATTAAAAGATGATAAAAAAGGATAAATCAAAACAACATTTTACAATTTTATTATTCTGGGGATTTTTTCCCCCACTTGAGGCATGCAACTGGCTGCGATGAACCGTCTCTTTCCAACGGCACTAACAGCTGAGCGGGGACATGGCATCCCAGAAGGACCAGCCACCATCTCACGCTGCCCCTTCCTCCTCCCCACCACAGGAGGACTGCCAAGTCCTCCGCATCCTACTGCAGCCATCCCACACATATGGCCTCTTATGGAAGCACTTAGGGCCATAACCCACCACCTCGTGCAGAGAGGCAGCTAGACACGCGGGGTCACCATGCATTGCAGGACACTGGGTGGGCGATGGGAGGGAGCAGAGTGAGGCAGCAGCAGAGGCGTTGGCTCACACCCATCCCCAGAGCGCAACGGTCCCAACTTTAATTCTGGAGGGGAGGAAGGGAAGGAGAGAGGGAAGGAGGAGGGATGGAGGCAGGGAGATGGGTGGGTGGGGAGGAGAAAGGGAGGTCGGGAAAACCCAGCACCCTACAAGTCCCGGCTCCCTCAGCGCAGAGACATGCCTCCACCCCCGCCCTGCCCGCCTCCCTCCCTGCCCGCTCCGCCGGCTCTACCCCTCCCCAGGATGCTCCGCCAGCCACCACCGGCAGCCTGCTTGAGATACTGATTGAGGGCTTGAGGGGGAACTTCAGGATGCCAGAGCAGAAGGCAGCCAGATGTAGACCTTTCCCTGAGCCACACACATAGCCCTATGCCCCATAACAGCACGAGGAAGCACAGTTACACCAGACACAGAAGGCAGGAGACACAACCACGTTTGGACACCAAGAGTTCAGGGTAGATCTCCATTTCTTCACCCCTCCCTTCCCACCAGCTCCTCCCCACGATGTCCCAGCGGCATTGAGCTCCTGCCAGCAAGTGTTAGCATCCATGAGACGTGCAATGGGTGACTTGTGGGCTCTAGAGCTGGAGAACATGTTCAGAAATGTGCCTGAAACGTGTTGGGCTCTTTGGAGGAGCAGGGAGGAGAGGGCAGCGGTACCAGGGAATGGCCACCTCTATTTTGATGGAAGGGTACGGAAGAGGGAGGGAGGAAGACGAGAGGGTCACAGCACTATGAACACACCTCGGTTTCAAGCATAGGGGCACGTTGGTGGGTCGGTTGAAGGGGTTTGTTAATTTTTAATTACAATTAATCCAAGTGACGCTTTGTCAAAATATCTAAACAAAGTACACTCTGCAACCCAGTGTCCTCAAGTTTCTTTTATCACTTCGCTTATCCGTAAATTCCTGTAATCTGCAGGCACGTGGCTCTTAATTGTTATTATTACCAATTAGCTTTTCTCTCCTGTAATTGCACTGTGCTTGCCTAAAGTCTCCTGCAGTTTTGGGGGAGGCTGATGCCTTCTCCTTCCTCCCAAAGCTGCTGCAGGCTGCAGCCCTCCACTCTCACTGTTGCCCGTGTCTCCCCTCTTTCTGTGGGAGCTGAACCATGAACCTCACACCAAAGATGAAGCCAAAACCCCCAAGCCCCTGCAACGCCACGGCGGGATTCATAGAGACCTGCGCAGCGTGGGATCTATAATCCTTCAGATGGTAAACACACAGTCTGACTGTAAGGCTTGGATAGAGGGCTCAAGCCCAGGAAGGAGCAATAAATTACCCCACTAACAGCAAGCACAACGTTTGCCTTGATTTAAGGGCTGCTGCAAGAAAGTTTCCCAGAGCTGGCAAGGTCTGGATCCACAATAGCGTCTCGGACAAGCGCGGGACGAGGCTCTGCTTCAGCTCTCCCTGCAGAAACGGGCTCCTTCTGCTGGTACCCAGGCTGTGGTGTAATCTGCATCTCTTCAGCCCAGAGAAGAATTAATTGATTCTTGATTACATGGGCTGGATAAGATTAATGATGTGCTTAACTATCCATTTCCTCGCGTTTAAGCACTAGGGGTGTGTTTGTAAATGATGAGGCACGAAATCCAGCCATGCCGCTCAGCGACTTCAGCGCTCACCAGGGCTGCCTGTTCAGCACTTAAACCCCCCCCCATAACCCAAAGCTGCCTGCAGATGGGCAATCCTGCCTGCACACCGGGGATGTCGCACATCCCAGGCAGCGAGGGCCAGGGGTTTGCCAGCAGGATCACTTTCCCAGGGCTGATGCAGGCGTTTGGGGGTGGGAGGGAGCATCGTTGGGGGGCTGCTTAAACCCAGGCTTCTTGCAGCGAGATGTCATCACTGGAGGTTTGGGGGGAGGGGACGGGGAATAGATGCAAGTCGCTCTTGTGCCCGAGGTGTGCTGGTAGGGGTGGCAGCCAATTTGCAGCACCCCACAGGGCTAGATGCAGCTGAGGGACTCCGGGCCAGAGCTGACCCTCTTACCCCTCCAAAGGCTTGGGGTGGGGATGCAGCCACGATCCATACGGGGCAAAACACCCAGGGAAGGTACCACAGACCTGAACTCCCATCACTGCCTCCCTCCTCATTCTGCAGCTTGCACGGGGACGGACGAATTATTGAAGCAGTAGTGGCACACAGCAGCATTGCAAGGCTTTTTGCTGCTGAAAACTCTCCTGTCTTAACAGCATGTATCCTGTACCCTTATATTTTGGGTGCCAGGGGTCCTAGAAAGAGCAGGAGGTAAGCGGGATCTCTCTGCTCATCCACCCATGCTCCTGCCCAAAGCAAGCCGCCATCAACAGATCAGACGGTCAGCAGAAAGAGTGCAAGTGCGGGGGTATCCAAGCATTTCATTCTTCAAACTAAATCCTCTCAGTTAGCACCTGGAACTTGCACTTTTTAATTACTCTCTCAGGGAAGCTTTAGTCAAAAAAAAAAAAGAAGACAGAAAGACAGAAAGGAGACATCTCCTCTATATTAACTTGCTCTAAAGCTCCCCAGGGACGCAGAGTGGCATTTCTCCTTATCAGGTTTTAAAATAGGAGCTTCTACAAAGAATTACAGACTTCAGATCACAATTCCCCATCTCCTCCCCCCAGCCCTCGCCGGCACCCCACTGCAGCTCCCTTCACTTGCAGCAAACCGAGTCTGCGCCGACTCATTCCCATGCCCCCGATGTCCCCACTGGGGCAGAGCTAACCACATTTGCCAGGTTTTCCCAAATTCATGCTTTTTTGGGGTTCTCTTTTGGGTCCAATGCCTTTGCAGGGCAAAACCAGCATCTTTAAGCACGCCCGTGCACATGCCCATGGTCACACCAGCATAGCAGGTGATGAGAAGGTGGTTTAGAAGTAACGGTACTGCACGAGACGATGCCCTCAAGCAAGCCAGAGGTGCAGAGGACTGCCACGTGCAAAGACACTGGAAAAGCCTGGATGATCCAGCTTTGCTCCAAAAAGATGTGTGGCTGGCACCTACCAGCACCCCCAGGAGATGGGCAGCAGAGAAGGTGACCTGTTGGGTCGGAGGACACCACAGGCCATGAACGAAGGAGGAACCGTAGCTTATTACACTTATAGCCTGCCGGAAAAGGATTCGAGGTGATTTTCCTCCCTTTCTACAAATGACGATTTTTCATTAAGGAAGAAAACCTGGCTCCTAAAACTGACACTTTCTGTAGGAGGCTCACAATTTTTTGATGAAACCCAGAAAAAGAGAGGAGGTGCTTGCTAGAAACCCCCTGTATGTTTTGCAGACACCTTCGACACAAAATGTATTTATCTTTAAGCA